TTAATTCTTTGCAATTATTATTATTTCTAACCCTAAGTAGAATTTGAGTAGTTAAATATTAGTATTAGCATTGTTTGGGTGTTCTCTTTAGGTGGTTGTCTCTTGCAAGCATTAAAGGTGGAGCTCTTCTTCAAGGTTTCATCACTCCCCCTCTTTGTAATTTTTCTAGTTGAGGGCCCATCTCTAGTGAGTAGAGGGATTTAATCACCTTCTCCACCCCTCGTATCATCTTTTTTCATCTATTTTGTAAATTCCTTGTTGGCGGCAATTCTCTATTGGAAGAGGGAGTTCATCACCCTCTCCAACCACTATATCCTTTCTATTCACAGATGTAGTATAGGGAGGGTTTCTTCAACAACTTCAAAATCTACTTCATCAACAAATCAAGAAAAATAATTGAAAGAAAAAGCAAAACAAAGAAGAGATTGAAGTGAAAGAAAAAAAAAAAGAAAAAAAAAAGAAAATGAAGAAATCAAGCTGAAAGGCTACATTTTAAGGTAAGTGCTCTTGAGATAATCAATTAAGCTCTTTAATTTATTATTTAAATTAACACAGATTGTAGATTGAGAAGCAAGGAGCTAGAAGAAGGTACTTGACACTTGGAGAGCATAAATTCAAGTAAGTTTTTTAGCATTTGTGAATTATTTCAATTATTTAAAGTTTAGCACATAAGCTTGGAGCAAGGAGCAAGGAGTTGGAGGGTAGAACCTAGGAGGAAGAAGCAAAAGAGGTATTCATCTACTCTCTCTTCTAGGACTTAAGTGTAGATTATAATAGAACATTTATTATTCAATAATACTTCCAAATAAAGCTCGTGATCGAATAGGAAAGATTGTTTAGAAGTTTTTTTGTCAAATTCGTTAACAAGTGGTAGGGTGGCTGGCGATGCAACTAGGTGAGTTCTCCTTCAAATTGGAATGATGCATGCAAGGAATTTTTTTGTCTAGTATTTTTTGTTGTTAACCAAGTAGTGGGTAATTTCCTAACTGCATTAGTGTAAAGGATAGAAAAGAAAGAGCTCGGACTTACTGCCAAAAACGGATTGCCTTTGCATTGAATGTTGTTTAGGGTCACCCCCACATGAGGTTGTTTCGTATAATAGTTTAAGAGAAGAAAAGAATTACTTGGGGTGATACTCAATTTAAGCATTCTTCTTTTAAATTATTTTTGTTGTATTTCTCTTCGATGTCGGAAGGAATGTTTAAGTGGGATGCAGGTGGATGAATACACTATATAAAAATTTAAATTTTATAATTAATTGGTTTGGTTTATTTTAATTGTCTTAGTTTTAGTTTTTAGAGATGACATCGTGATCGTAGAAGTTAATGTACCGCTCTACTAGGTCCCATAAACTAGAATTAGTAGAACCTTTAGAAAACCTAAAACTCTTAAGAACTATTAGACCTCCTTTATCAAATCCTAAGACTCCAACGTGTGAACTCGAATTAAATACGCCTAGAAATTTCTTTGAGAAATTTGAAAACCTTCCCTTAGAGGATCTTGAAGAAAACTTAACAAAAGTATTATCAAATTCTTCAAAGGATAATAGAAGTAATTCGGATCAAGAAATTACTCATCCATTAAAACCACAAGAGACCATGGATCCAAATCAAGCTGAACGGGAAGAACTTCCACCTATACCAATTAATCCCTTGGTTCAACCAAGGGGTTTACCTATTCGAGTCCCAGAGGGGCTTATTGCTGCTCCTATGCCACCTAACCTCTCTACTTTTAGAGGTACGAGAGATGAAGATCCATCGGCCCATGTAGAACGCTTTATAGAAACACTTACAACGTATTTAATAATAGATGGCCGTTACTATTTAGTGTGGTTTCCAACCACATTAAAAAATGGGACATATGAGTGGTACCGTAACCACTCTCCTAATACCTTCATAAGTTGGGATATGATCCAACGGTTCTTTTTAGAACCATTTCGACCTGAAGTAGGACAAAACACAGTCTTAACCGCTTTATCTTCTCTTAGACAAGAAAAGGATGAAGACATTACATCATATATTCAATGTTTTGATTTAGTTGTGACAAGGTTTGTAGGAACCTTGCTCACAGATGACACCTTGAAGCATTTCTTTATTCAAGGATTTGTTAAAGAGGAGACGATTAAAGAAATCCTCTATGCACGTTCCAAAGACTTAATAGCAGCCAAGAATGCTGCAAGAGAAATAGAACAAATAAATAAGGAGCATGAGAGGCTGTGGCGTAAAGAAGATCACAATATCCCTAGTTTTATATCCATACATGCTAGAGTTCCTTATGCATCAAGTTCTCAGATGCATGAACAACCACGGATGATTCCCACAACTCTAAAAGCTTATCCCTTACCCTTAAATACTAGGCCTCTACTTTCTTCATTGGCCTTGACATATCCTATTGAAGATAATAGGTAGAAGGAGGGTTTATAAAAAGAGATGAGGGCTTTTCAATTAGAATTTCAAACCCAAATCTCTCATCAAATGAAATTGATGACGGAACAATTAGTTGGGTTGGCTAGGAATTCCAACTCCAATCCTCCTCCACCTCCCATTGAGTCAGGAAGACATATAACAAGATTATGGTGTACTCAATGTCGACAATCAGGGCATTCGGCTCAATTTTGTAATTTTATTCCTCCACAAAACCAACATTCTCATCAAAATGCTCCTCGATACAAAAAGCAAACCTTTCAAGGGTATAATTCGGGGCAACAAGGGTTTAATAGTAGGAGCCATGGTCTTATAAATCAAGAAAGATAACAAGTAGAATTTCATGCATTTTGTGGGAAAAGACATCCACTTGGTCAATGCTAGATTGAAAATCAAGTACAATGCGGAAATTGTGTTGGTAACCATCCCACAAAATTTTGTAGGAAATTAGATCGAGTAGTGCCTTTACAACCCTCACCTGGTATCTATGTTCAACAATCATACGATAATCGTAGAGAAGCAAGACAACCTCCACTAGATAACAATTTGAGGCCTCCTAACCTGTATTATGACTATGAAAAAAATAGACAAAACCAAAATGCACCTAGTGGACTTCAAACAAATTCTCGATATATTCCTTTAAATCTTGATCAAAGTCAAAATTCTTCTAATCAACTAAGACAAGACCAAGGATCTCAAGACGTACGATTTATATCTAAGCCCATAAGACAATTGGGAGAACCTCAAAATCCTTAACAACTTGATGTCAATCAAGTTTTTTCCCCAGAATTGAATTTAATAACTTTTGAAAGAAATCAATCAAAGAAGAAGAACTTACTTGTGATACCAGCCCTAGCAGTAACAACTAGATCTAGGGCTGCATCTTTATCTATCCATTAAGAAGAGGGGAGTAGTGTCTCAGAGAGTCCACCTTGTCTTTTGGATTTAGATCAAGTCACAAGGAACACAATTAAAGCAACTCAAGATACCAAAATTAAATCTTTGAGATTTAATCCTTTGGTAGAAGAATTACCATTTCAAAATCCTGAGGTTGAGCATGAACCAAGTGTAAATCCAGACAACCATAGTTGGGAGGGTCCAAAATTCCCACAATTGAAGTTCTTCAACAAAAGAAAGATGTGGAAGAATTTAGCACACAAGAATATGATTTATGGGATGATCTTAGCCAGTTAAAAGCTAATATCACCTTTGCTCAACTATTGGAAATTTCTCCAATAGTTAAGAAGGCACTAAAAAACCACATACCTATGAGAAAACAAAGAAGGCCCAAAGTTAGGATGGTGGCAAAAATAGAGGCCTATACTAAACAAACCGAGGTAAAAGCAATAGAAATTAAAGTTTCTATTGTAGACAAAATAATATCTTATACTATAGTAGATGGTGGAAGTGGTTTGAATATTATGCCCTTCCAAACCATGGAGAAATTAGGATTGAGTGTCACTAGTCCATCTCCTTTTGTTATCAAGATAGCAAATCATAGTTCATCTATTCTAGTGGGTCAAATAGAAAATTGTAGAACGTGGATTGAGGGTGAAGAATATACCTTGACATATCATGTCATTCGGATGCATACGTCAAAGGACTCATTTCCTTTATTACTAGGAAGGCCATGGTTGAGGGATTCAGAAGCCATAATGAATTGGGGAGGAGATAAGTCCCACATCACCTTTGGTCCTTGGTTTCTCAATTTTATTAGAGTATTAATTGCTATTCTTTACAAAATAGATAATGGACTAGCATTTATAGTCAAATATACATATCACATAGTGCTAATGAATACATAGACTTGGCATGATTTTGTTAAGCTTTTAATAGATTTCAATGATTAGATTAAAATTTCTTCATCATGATTATTTTATCTTTATAATTTAAATATTTTTTATTTTTCTTGTAAAGCATCTATAGTGGGATTGTTCATGGCAAATTAAATTATTAATTCCTTACTAAATACAAAAATGAATCATGTTGGATATAAAAGAGTTGAAAATAAGATTGGTATTCATATAGTCTATTATCAAGAAGGCTCAAAAGCAAAGGATAAGAAAAGAAGAAGCTTAAATAAGAGAGAATTTGATGTAAATATTATACAACAATTGAAGGCCTAAATACTATTGGATTTCAATGAATTTTTTCTTCCTTTGATATATATTTGCTATTGACAATTTCAACATAGCAATCATAGATTCAATTAATGATTTTAATTTTTTTTTATCAAACTTCAATATTTAAATAATTTGAATATTTAAACATTTTATATATAGGCTCTACATATTATGGCTTAATTATATGGCCAAAGTCAATCTATATATGTAGATCAAAAATCTTTCAACCATTCTTTACAACCTTAACATTACAAATACTATTGTAAAGACAAACTCACTTTTCTTGAAGAGAATCTGCCCCTCTGTGCTCACAAAACAATGTGAAAGAGAGCATATCGCTACGGATTCAAGAGCGACCACCATTCGACTCTATAGAAACAAGGTGCTCTCAAGAAGAAAATTAATTTGAAGGCTAATGAATACCCAAGACTATGCTTTCATTAGAACACATAAAGAACTGGAATGAGACCCTACGTCTTTCAGTCACGTCCGGGCCGTTTGCTTGAACAAGATAGATGAAAGTTGCTTGAAAAGGTGCTTACTCTACACTTAAAAGGGCAGAATGAATGGATATCATGCAGCATTTTCTCATTTCCCGCTAGTTCATCATGTGTGCCAAGAGGTATTCTAAGCGCACGCGCTCTGACTCCTGTAACTTCTTGCTGCTGGTAATACGCGAAAATCCAAAATCCAGGATGCGGACGGGAGGCTGTTTTCCCCGCACTACCATAAGATTACGTGCCTCAATATCTCCATGAAGCAACCCGCATGCATGGACTGCATCAAGCTCATCAAGTGCAGCAGTCTCCACCTCCTGGGTCACTGCTACTGAAAAATAATCACCACACAAGCAAATAAATGACTAATCCACCAGAGGATTGCAGTTACTCACAGATACTGGCCCTTCAAGAAGCACTGAATAAAATCACCATGATCAGGCTACGAGAAACCCTTTAGATCAGAATGCAGAGAGTAGCATCCTCCACATTGGACAGTTTCGCAACCAATCCTACCTTCTCCAAGTTCAACGCCATCAATCAATTCTGTGGCTACAAATACAGCCTGACCGTTACATGTGGTTCCATATTCTATTAATCGAGGAACAAAAATCCCCCAAAGCTTCTTTATCTTCTGATAGGCAACTACCTCCTTCAGAAGAGCCTGCACAAGCACGGCAAAAAGATGGGCTTGACAAAATAAGATCACAAACAGGTAAGGTGTCGCAAACTGCACGTGCACTTCGACACCAACATGCTTCACGTGCATCTACCTAAGACTACCTGCCACTAAAGGTGTCGCAAACAGGACCTCTCAAACTCAGCCCCCTATTAGACCAAGTAATGGTAACTTTCAGCTCTGAACGCAACATTTCCACATACCACAACTCCGGCTCACCTCCGCACGTTCCGTGTTTAAGTAGGCAAACTTCAATGCAACAGCCTGTCCATACATACGGCCAATAGCAACGCATCCACTTCACCCCTCACAACTTATGATACCGCCCGTTACTTTCAGGTTCAGGTCCACAGCAGAGACATCTTTCAGAGCCAGCTGGTTCCCATCTAAGCGAGTTCTCGTTGACCTGCAAATGCAATTGCAGTCATTTCACCATTTGTTCTCTTCTACATGTCCGACTTCATGGAACAATTTGAATGGCTGGCTGGACAAGTTACCTTTGTGTTTTAGAGACACTGTTACTGCTCGCACATCCTCTTAAGTCTGGATCGTTCTTAACGTCATCAGTGATTTCACTAGAGGGTTCGGAAGGGGCAGCTCCATGTACTCTGGGAGTTTCGCCATGACCAGGTCCTTTATCAAACTTTATCCTTGTAAGCAATGTCCACCAAATATGTCAACGCAGCAAGCACAGGTGGGTGCCCACCTCCCGCCTTAAAACCAACTGATATTTTGAGGCAGCCGGCATTATCCCGTTTGAAGAGAAACCAATTTCTAGCATCAGTTGAGACACCGTAACCCACCTCAGAGCTGCAACTCAGAGCAAGAGGAAAGATAAATAAGAACTGCCGCGCATTCCATGCTAGCATTTTTCCCAAAAAAGATCCGAAAACCAAGACAGTGACAGAAAATTACACTGGTAGGATGAAAGGAGACAGAAGAAAGAAGAGAAAATAAGACCTGAAAGTGAGTCAACATAGAACCAGGATTAAATAGGCAGTAAAATGCAGTTTGTTAGAAAAGAGGTTCGTCAAAATGGACTGTTTGATTACTGGGAGCTGGCAAAGGCAAAGTTGACTAAGCAAATAAGGGCTGAGCTCCAAGGCAATCTAGTCAAGAGGAAAGATTACCACGAAAATCAAGGGTTCAAAAACAGCTTACAGAGCCATGTGCTCGTACAGCTGACTAATACAACGAATGAGCTTTTCACCATGAGCTGCCGTAATGCTAAGAACTTCGCACCTGCAATTATTGGACCGTGGTCAGAATTCTTGCAAAAATGTGAGAATTGGAAAATACTATGAAAATATGGGATAGGGCCAGATAGGACCTGGTATGCAGGAGCATTCTGTCCAAGCTTTGTGGAGATGCCAGGCGTCACCTTGGTCAGATCCCAGACCTCCATTCTTTACCTCTGCGACCAAAGCATTCTACTCGTGTATGGTAACTACGAAGTCTGCTCGAGGGTTCCTGATCACCAAGTCGACTAAATTTGGACTAAATTTTGCATCCGATCCCGTTTTGTCTGTTTTGTCTGTTTTGTTTGTTTCGTACGTTTCGTCTTTCTTCTTTTCAATGGAACTGAGTACGACCTGCGACTCAAAACGGAACTTTAGCTGTGGCTGCTTCTTCTTCATAAAGTGTTGGATTTCGGACATAATATTCGCGACGATAATTCCCTCCATCTTCGCTGTCACTGAAGTTTTCCGAGTAGAAGACGTCACAGAGATCTCATACGCATGCTTCCTTTTGTCTGCCCTCTTGAAAAATTCTTCAATCTCTTCCTTCACATCCCAATGCTCCACTTTAAGAGGATTATACATCCGTTCCTTGGTCGAGCAGCTTGGGTAAGAGCGAAGCCCTGAAGGGACATCCGGCACCACGACCTCCTGCACCAACCGGTCATGTTCTGTGCCCAAGTCTGCACACACAAAACCATGTATGACTGAAGTTTTTGTTAACATAGTTATGAATGTGAAGCGACTGAAACAACCATCACACACGAGGGCAACTCTCTTAAGGTCTGTCATCGTGAATTGGCCTTGGGTGCATACATTTGACACGCTAGCTAAACTACAGTACTCTCTCAATGTCATGGAAAAAACAAATAGAGAAGACCATTTTCTCTGTTATTTTCTCATGCGCGCACCTTCACATGCATTGCCAAACCTAAAATGATCAAGCGAGGACCAAGGACAACCCTAGTGGAGAATAGCCTCTAAACAACCCATAATAAAGAGAAAACATTAACTATTCCACCTAGTCTGACAATAGATAACCGGCAATGGGAATAATGCAGGTCAATGACAATAGATAACCGGCAATGGGAACAATGCAGGTCAATGAAGTAGACCATCCAAGCCTACGCTAACCCTATCCCAAACCTACTCCAATAACCATGAAATACACCCTTGCTCAACAATCCAGCAACCCCCAGGAACATTAAATCACAAAGATGATGAGGAGATGGGCCTTCAATGACGAGTGATAGAAGTGACCTCGTCCATGCAGGAATTGCGCTTTCTCATCTCGAAGTTACTTTTTCTCCTCATCATCAAAGCATTTTTCGACCTGCTCTTCCTCTTTTCGTATGCTATCTTCCACTCCAGATATCTCCTCTTCCACTCTTCCTATGCGCTCTTCCAGTCCTCGTATCTGCCCTTCCACACTTCCTAGCTGCTCTTTCAAGTTTCGACCGGCGTCATCCATTCTCCTACACAACCCAATGCAATAGGCAACCAACGATCAGATTCTACTTCTTAGTAGATTCAAGAATGAAGGATCCATAATATGGTACCTGAAATCAGGTGGAGTGAGGACCTCCTAGAACTCAAACATGCGCCATAGGAATATCTTCTCCTGCAATCCAGGGCCTCCATTGATAGCACTCCAAACATGTTCAAACTATTTGCAAGACTAATGCGGAAATACACAAGTTAACTAGTCCATAAGCGCCAGAGACACTAAACACTAAAACCAACATGCACCCACTACAATTCGCTACTTCCGAAGCAAAACTCAGCGCAATCAAAACCTCTACCACATGACCTCACTGCGGAATTCTCGATGTTGAATTCCAGCAACTAAACCGCCATGAACCAAGATTTAGCTCAAATAATTAGTAAATACTGTCTGGACTGGGTGACACATGATCGCCGATTGTATTCAATCTATGAGCATCCTGTAAAGAAGTGTTGCCACCCTTCAGACATTGTCACGCAGTATGAATTACCTTTCTATGGATTGTGATATATTTCAAAAATGCCCATGTTTGAAGCATCGTTACAAGCAACAAAGTAAACATATACTTCGTTTCAAATGTACAAACGCCTCATGTTAACAAAAGATGATTAGACATTTCATGGCGGTATTGAGATTACCAATTCAACCCCAAGTTGACATGTGACTAAAAATTGATTCATCCAGACATGAGCTATTGTATATGTTGTTGGATTGTACCTGTTCTTACTCTAAAACAATTTAGTTGAGACTGCTGCACATACAATTGGGAGCTCTTCTCAATCTGGCTAAGTCTCAAAAGCAGGAACATACTTATGTCTCAAGGTTTGAAAGTTTAAACATTATCCTAAAAAGTGGATAACTCTGACTTTGCAGTGAGTTCAATTCCTTCAGTGTCAGACAACTACTACTATCCCACCATATCCAGCATAATCTTCAACAGTAAACAAGTTTAGGTATTTTGGTGAGTTTATATTGACATACCGGACACATCCTAGTTCCTCTCTAGCTTTTCTTACAACAGGAGATGCAAACACGGCAGGAAACATACTCTCTTGGAAAGCTTTTTGGACAATTAGGTTTCACCTAATTGACCACTTGATAGTGAAAACCCCTGAACTCATGATAACATACACTATAGTTTCAAGATCTAGCGAGGGGAGAACACTTTCGAAAGAATGGTTGTGGGACGTGGAAATGAGAATAATCGACGACTACTTAGGTTAGATCTTAAAAGTGACACAATCCTCTTTAAAGCCATTCAAATTCAGCAGCAAGCCAGAACCAGCGTAAATCCTCTGGGCATTGCTGTACAGGCCAATCATCGTTTGCAACATTCCTAGGATATGCACAGTTTTTCACTTCACCATACTTCAGACTCACAAATATTTGGACTATCACTAATTCCCTTTCCTATAATGCTGATTACTGCCCTTTCAAACTACCTCATTTAATGTCCACTCATGAAGGTTCTAAAATTGTTAGGGATTAACAGATATTAAATTCGGAATCCTCATACTTTGTTCAATGCTAAATAGGTAATTTATGATACAATACTTTTGTTATTCAAAGTTTCATGCATAAACTCAATAACAAATATCCAAGAAAATCACAGTAATAATGAGACAGATCAATGGAGATTATCCCAAGTGCTCATATTCTGTAACCACGCTACATACCAAGCTACATGGATCAAACCTCGTCATCACCTTCCTCTGCTCTACGACAACTCCTCTAGATTTTGGAACTAGTAACTGGGTATTTCAAACTTAGTAAGTACTTGCTACTTCCTTCCTCATGAAACTTCCCACCTGTAACCGTCATTTTCACATGAATGTTCGTGCGTTCGATTATTGATTACCACTTGTCAATCTAGATTACATAATGTTTATGCGTTGGTTTATTGTTTACCACTCGTCAATTCAGATTAAATAACGTACAGTAACTTCCATAAATTACTGTAATGCAGAGTTAGTAATAGATTAATTCGTTCTAGTTGTCTGAATGTGAGTCCGCTATCTCGTGGACATCATTCACCCAGGTAGTATTTCTAATTTCAAGCAGATCGAGGAATGTGTCATTTCTAAGAAAATCAAACTCTTGATTCATTGCAAGGATACAAAACAAACTGTGGCACTTTTGTCTTCTCTCAACTAGTCTAGAATTCTTGCTACAAGCACAATTTTGGTGCAAGTTTGTCTTCAGTAGTCCATCTATAGACCAGTCGCTAAAATACTAACCTTTAAATGTATTACCTAATTACACCACGCATACTGGACATACACATTTCTAGAGCACACTCCAAGATCCAACTTAATCTCCAACATCATAAAAATAAGTTGAAGTACTCAATTATGCTATAGAAATGCCATGTTGAATTCAACAAGATGACACTGAATTCTCACTGACCCACATTGGAATCATACTAAAATCAACTACAAGTACACATAGAAATCTATGGCAAAGAGTGACGTTGCTTTCAAAGCGCTCAGTGTTAGGGACATATTCCTTAGAACTTTTTAGAGAGAAGTTTCTAGAACTTTCTAGAAAACAAGCCTCTGGAACCTTCTAGAAGAGAAGCTTCTAGAACTTTTTAGAGAGAAGTTTCTAGAAGCTTCTAGAAAGGAAGTCTTTGGAATCTTCTAGAAGAAAAGTTTCTAGAAGTTTCTAGAAAGGAAGCCTCTGGAACTTTCTAGAAGCTTCTTAGTTAATAGAAGTAGCTCGAGAAGCTTCCTAAGTAGGAGTATATATAGGGATTGAGGCTGAAGAGTTCTTCAGTCTCGACAACACATCTCTTAGAGTTCTAGCTCACCTTTCTGGTGTTGTTCTTGTACTCATCTGTTTAATCTAGTTTTGCCACTTCTTCTTGAACTTCTTGTTAGATTTCAAGTCTATATTTTGTGTCCGTGACAGTTTATCGAGACTGCTTTAACTTGAGATATCAGAGATAGTTCTTTCTTAGTAGAGTGTAGATTACCCCTCTACTTGAAGGTATACTAGCATTTTTTAGAGGTTGCGGATTACCCTCCTCTAAACTGATACTTCTTCTGTTACAATATTGGAATCTTATTCTTCTTGGAGAGAGTGGATTACCCCTCTTCTTGAAATTCTTAAGGCGTTTTATAGGTTGTGGATTACCCTCCTATAAACCAATATTGCCTCTTGTAGAGTCATTTTTGTCCTTCTTTTAGAATGGCCGGAGGTCAAGATATTAATATGACAGAAAGTTCGGAGTCTAAGTTAGATGCTATTATGAATGCCCTCGCTACATTATCACAAAGAACTGCAGAGATTGAAGGAGTGGTGGCAAGGCTTCATAATGATGGGATATCTTGGATAGCACAATCTAAACTACACCAGCCTCAAACTTTTGCACTTGGAGAAACAACTTTACCTCAGGTTTGACAAGAACCACTAGTTCTACAACATAAGGAGCCTCAAATTAGCCTTCCAGATAAGTTCGATGGAACACGTTTCAAGTTTCGAGGATTCGTCAATCAAATCAGGTTGATAACAGTTTTACAATCCAAACGATATCCAATGGAGGAGTCTTGTGTTGGGTTTGTTGGAACCTTACTTACGGGACAAACTCTATCATGGTTTGCTCCTTTACTTGAGAAACGATCATCCATATTAAATAACTTCGAAACCTTTTTGGAGGCATTTGCGGAAGCATTTGGTGAACACGATAAGGTTCGATGGGCTACAACAAAGATCC